CATTTCCCGGACATAGACATTGAGGCTCAAAGAAGGAGACGCTGCTGGTAAGTAGAGGAGCGACACAAAGCACGACATGCTGGTTGAGATACAATCACATCATGAGTTTTCCAGTATGTAAAACTGTCTTATTCCAGGCCCTTGATGACTCTCCTCTCAGTTGTCATAGTCCCTCAATGGCTCAGCTGTCTCTGGCCATGTACTCCTCAGATTCTTATTCTGTGAAGTTTCTCTCATAAATTGGCCTATCAAAAATATTAATTGAGGGGCCGGTGCTATGGCATAGTGGGTAAGACTGCCACCTGCAGTGCCACCAACCCACATGAGCACTGGTTCGAGTCCCAGCTGCTCCACTTCCGATCCAGCTCTTTGCTATGGCCTGGGTAAGCAGTGGAGGATGGCCCAAGTCCTTGAGCCCCTGTGCCCATGTAGGAGACCAGGCAAAGCTCCAGCTGTTGCGGTCAATTGGGGAGTTAAACAGCAGATGGAAGACCTCTCTTTCTCTCTCTCTCTCTCTGCCTCTCCTTCTCTCTCTAAGTAACTCTGACTTTCAAATAAATAAATAAATCTTTACAAATATTAATTGAGCTCCACCTGTTTAAAAGCTATGAGTGTCCGGAATAGAAATAACGATGGTTTTGTTGAGATTAATCCTGAAACTTTCAAACAAACTTTTATTTGGTTGATGATTTACAAATGTTTGAATTGGGCTGAAGAAAACTTGCAGAATAGAATGAGGTAGTTAAGTCTTAGAGTGAGACTAAAGGATTCATATCCTGACTCCAACACTAGCTGTTGGATTGGGATAAGTTACTTAACCTTTCTGTGCACCTGCTCTCTTCCTTAATGTAGAACTTATATATGTGTGTCAGAGGGTGGTGTGAGAAGTGAATTTCATTAGTTAACATATATAAAAGGTTTTCAAGTGTGCCTGATACATAATAAACTGCTATATCAATGTTAGCTATATTATCTACATTTGGAAGCTGGGGAGATGGGCAGGGAATAGGATTAGAATTCAAAATAGCTTTGATAAACCATCATACTTTTCATCAGGAGACACTAACAGTTTGCTTGCCGGAGTTCATTATAGTACACATCCGTGATGAGCTGCATGGCATTGCGTTGTGATGGAGACCTTGAACTTGGGGGACTGAATCATGTTGAAGTATGTCTTCTGGTATTTGAAGTTGCCCTCCTTGATTTGGAAGCAAGAATAAAGGTCATTGCCAAAGTAATTCCATATAGACATGTATCCTCTTCCAAACAAGCATAAAGTTTCTTTTAGACAAGCAATCCACATGACATAATTTCCAACATACTCTGTTAACACCCCAGTAAGCCAGGAAATCAATCTTCCAGCCACCACAACACTTGAGGAAACATCTGTGGGACCATTTGCCATGAGAAAGAACGAAAGGAGGCCTGAGGTCCCTGGGTTGGTACCAGCTTAGTCCAGGAGGGTTGATGGAGGCATTATACTGGCTCGAGAGTGATACTTTCTCCAGAATTTAGAAGGCATAGAAGTGACATGCAAGGTGTTACAAGAATAGAGGTGTTTCATGTTAACTTATCCTGCAAATCAATCTCTGGGAATAGATATGAGTCACAATTTATCTTTTGAGCTTGTGTTGTGGTACAGTGGATTAAGCTAACACTTTCAAAGCCAGCATCCCATATGGGCACCGGTTTGACTCCTGGCTGCTCTACTTCTGATCTAGCTCCCTGCTAATGCACCTGGGTAAGTAGCAGAAGATGGCCCAAGTCTTGGGTCCTGTTACCCACATGGGAGACCCAGACAGAGTTCCAGACCCCTGACTTCAGCCAGGCCCAGCCCCAGAGCTTGTGCCCATTTAGGAGTGAACCAGCAGATGGAAGGTATCTCTCTGCCTCTTTTTCTCACTCTTTCTCTTTCTCATTCTGTAACTCTGCCTTTCAAATATATCATTTTGAAAAACTATCTTATGTGGGAAAACCTGTTCTGTTTTGTCTCAACTCTAAAAGACCCAGGCTTGCCCACTGAGCATATGGTTCTGTGCAAAATTTGATCTTGATTGATTATAGTCCATTAATTTATCTTCTGGTTACAAATGGCCATACTTAGAAGTCAGTTCCATGAGGCAATGTTAGATTTTGAAGTGTACGCTGAAGAAAGAAAACTAAAGATGGAATCAACCTGACCTTGGAAATAAGTGAGTAGCTTACAAAAAGAGGAGGGGGCCTGGGAACCAGAAGAGACAGCTTGACAGCCGACAGAAAGCGATTTAACACTCAGACAGGGTAGAAAATTGAGATCCACAACTATGGCCAAAAGATACAACCCCAAAGCACTGCTCCGAAATGAGAGCTAAAGGACATAATGTATTACATAGACTTTTCCCATCACAAGATGTAAGCTAATCTACTTTGCTAAAAACAAACGCATTTCACCCTTGAGAATGTATTAAGTGCTCTGAAAAGGGTCTGGGATTTAATTTGTAAGACACATTTCATCAGATATTTAGAATTTTCACTCTAGAATTCCTGGCCTCTAGTGTTCTTTATTTTCTAATTCCTACGAGTTAATCAGAACCACATTCACTCAGGGAGTATGTCAAAGCCTAACATTCTTCTAACATTTATATTTCCAAACAAGTCAATGCTTCTATACCATTTTTTAAATGTAAAGTTTTAAAGAATATAACAACAAACCACTCACACCTAGACTATTTTTATATATAAAACAATGGTCCAAACAAGCTAGAAATTATTTTATCCATTGCTCTTTCTGGAATGAAAGTGTTAGTCATTGCACCTGTTTTTCTGTAATAGTACAATTGGCATTTTCAACTTTAAGACTTTGAAGTATATCTTTTTAAAAAAATTTTATTAATATAAAGACTATAGATTTCATGTAATTCATAAGTACAGTTCTGAGATGACAACCATACTTTCCACCTTTCCCTTCTCTTCCCTCAATCCTTCTCCTTCCTTCCTTTCCGTTTTTCTTTAATGTTTGCAAAGACATAATTTCAAACCCCTCTCTAATTACCAGCTTAATTCACCACTAACCATAATATTCAACAAGTGAAAAGTAGAAAGACCACAGTTCCACAGGAGTGTAAACAAGGGCTAAAAACAACAATCAAATCACAAGATGTCCATTTCATTCCAATTGGCGGACAAACCTTCCCTGAGCACGGATTCTGTAACTGACTCTTCTCGTGATGTCTGGGAGCACATGTGTATCATGTGCAGTGTTCATGCAGATCCTCGAAATCATTCTCTGCCTGTTAAAGCAGACATAAATATAAGGGATTCTGTATTCACAGTATTGCTTTTAGTGACATCACAGTGAATGTCTTTCTATCTGTGCTTAATAGCTGGATGACGCCTAATGACTCAAGTTATGCTTGCCTATGAATCCACCATGTTGATTATTTGGCTTGTATTCACTCAGATGCTAAAAACATTTCAGGACTTCAATCAGATTATCTGATATACCTGTGTTTAAGAGATATTGAATGTTGAAGGAAGGTGATTAGTGGAAAAATGAAGTCATGGTAATCTTTATTTTTATTTTTATTTATGTGAAAGGCAGGGTGACAGAGAAGAAGAGAGAGGCAGAAAGAGAAACAGATTTTCCATCTGCTGGTTCATTCCCCAAGTGGTCACAATGGCCAGGGCTAGGGCAGACCACAGCCAGGAGTGTAGCACTCCATCCTGGCCTCCCATGTGGATGACAGGCACCCAAGTCCTGGGGCCATCTTCTGCTTCCTTCCCAGGCACATTAGCAGCCAGATGGGTCATAAGTGGAGTATCCAGGAATTAAGCCAGGTGGAAGCCAGTGTCATAGGCAAAGACTTAACCCACTATTCCACAATATCAGCTCCATGAGTGGTATTTAAAATGAATTAATATTCATGCTATTTGTAAACTGTAAGTTGTATGATGTACCATAACATGCTTTATTTAAAAGACTTGTCTTAGAAATATTCTTAAAAGATAGCTCAATTGGGCCAGTGCTGTGGCATAGTGGATAAAGCCGTAGCCTCCAGTACTGGCATCCCATATGGGTGCCGGTTCGAGTCCCGGCTGCTCCACTTCCAATCCAGCTCTCTGCCGTGGCCTGGGAAAGCAGTAGAAGATGGCCCAAGTCCTTGGGCCCCTGCACCCTTGTGGGAGACCCGGAAGAAGCTCCTGGCTCCTGGCTTCGGATTGGCGCAGCTCTAGCCATTGTGGCCAACTGGGGAGTGAACCAGCGGATGGAAGACCTCTTTCTCTCTCTCTCTCTCTGTCTGCCTCTCCTTCTCTCTCTGTGTAGCTCTGACTTTCAAATAAATAAATAAGTCTTAAAAAAAGATAGCTCAAAAGAAAGGCAGAACTCCAGAAGTTGTCCATTTCTCTTATTTTTAATTCATCCTTTCTCATCAAGTGCTATTTTTAGAAATCCTTTCTCTTGAGGGTCAAGTGCAACTCTTATTTTCTTTTTTATTCATCTTTACTTCTTTCAGATTTAAATTCTCACTCTTATCTGCCCATATGGACATAGTGGCTTTGAAACTGCTCATTTATCTTCCAAGCTGTAAGTACAGGCCCACCTGACATATTTCCATAACCATGCCATTCTCTTGCTTAAAATCTTTACAGTTTTTTTTGTTTTGTTTTGTTTATTGCAGTCCAATGCTTGACTCTAAGCTGGATCAAAACCATGGGCTTCTCCCCAAGTTGAAGCTCAGACTGAAATATAGGAAAAGAATAATGGGTATGATTAGGGCTGGGAGATTTGCTGCTTTAAGTCTAAAATGCACACCTAAAGCATTTTACTCAGTTTGGTAGGCAGTGAACAGATATCAGAAGGTTTCCCTTGGTTGTTTTCTAGCCTCAGGGTTATTTGCCCAAACAGCACAACAGGATACCAGTCCCATGCAGACAACAGCCCAAGGGTCACTCCAGTCATTCCATCTTCACATTGGCAGGCAGAGGCCTTGATTATGGAGGTTTTATGGTGAGCTTGGGCACTACTGGGTACCTGAGCTGGAGCTAGATTCATAGTGGCTGCTTGGGCCTTGGACCTGGGCCTGAGTATTTGGCCACAGTCTCTGGCCAGCGGAACCTGCGACTCTTGGGCGGTGCAGGCACAGCATGCTTCCCGAGGGTGGGCCATGTAGACAGCTCAACTGGGCTTGCAGCTGATAGCCTTGGGGATGTTGGGCTTGAGCTCCTTGGATGTGAAGACAGTGTTGACAGCACTTGCAGGTGCACTCATGGCCTTGGGGCTTGACCTGCATCATCTTCAGGGCCTGGGTGTTGTACTTATAGGAAAATGCATACAGGAAAATGGGATCTATTGCCATAAGAGATTCCTGTCTTTGCAAACAGGGCTTCTTGATACTATTTCTGTGCCATTCTGAGGATTGGTTGTCTGTGGTGTGGCTCTTGACCTTGACCATAACCGCACTGTAATCTGCAGCTCCCACAGCTGCAATTTTTCATGTTTGTTTGCTTATTTTAGAACAATGATATTCTGTAGGAAAATTATACATTTATTTATTTAAGAGGCAGAATTATAGACAGAAAGAGGCATAGAGAGAGAAAGAGATAGGTCTTCCATCTACTGGTTCACTCCCCAAATAGCCGCAATGGCTGGAGCTGCGCCAATCTGAAACCAGGAGCCAGGAGATTCTTCCTTGTCTCCTACGCACGTGCAGGGGTCCAAGCACTTGGGTAAGCCCCACTGCTTTCCCAGGCCATCACAGAGAGTTAAATCAGAAGTGGAGCAGCTGGAACTCAAACCAGCGATCATATGGGATGCTGGAACGACAGGCGGAGGTTTAGCCCACTATGTCTTAGCGCCGGCCCCGGGAAAATCAATCGTGCTGTGGTGTTTAGCATGAATTAGACAGGAAAGTACCTAGACTTCAAAAACCCAATGACTAAACTATTGCAAGCATTCTGGGTAATAAACAGTGAGGATCTGAAGCAGGAGGATAACAGTGAAAATGGACAAGGGAGAGTATCAGCAAGGCTGTCAATGTTTGTCACTGATGGTAGTTTGAGGGTCAAGGAGGAAAGAGAAATACAGAGTCAAGCACTTCCAATAACTGATGAATTAATTTCAAGATTTAGAAATAAATTTCTGTTCAATCCTTCTAGTGAGGCCACCTGGACTGAGGTGTGTCGTGATTTGCTCATCAAGTCAGAGAAAGCTCCTGGGTGCTCTGGCTTTACTCTGTCCTGTGGCTTCCTTATGGCTCCTCTACCCAAGTGCTAGCCCTGTCACTCCTTATGAGAAAGTCCACGTTTACTGTGTAAAAAATCACATCCTTCAGAACATTACCAACCAATGTTTGAAGCAGGGACCAGCACCATCTGAGAACTGGCATGTGGCAGTGGCAGTGGGTTGGGGATTTTTCACATCACCCTGGGAGTCAATGATCACAACATACTGCCCTTGACCTTCTCAAAGCCCAAATATCTTAGAGAAGATATTGCAGGCCACCTTATCAGCAGTACAGCACTGCACCCCAATTATATCATTACCACAAGCTAATCTCCCGGGCTACTAGCCTAGTGCCCATGACCAGTGCAGTAAACATCATAAATAAATACCACAGTCATTTACTCTGTTTGCTGGCTTGAAGGGTTTTCAGCTGGGAGAGGACCACATGGCCTTTGCACAGCTGTTTCTGTGTTATTTCTAACTGGATGTGACGTGCCGAGTTCTAGGAATCTTGGACGTCTGCCTGATTAAGGTCAAGTCCACCCACCTACAGATTCATATAAATGTCTTTGGGCCACACTTGAGGCAGAAGAGAGCCTCTAGTTGGGACAAGTGACTTTGAAACTACTTTTACGCATGGCCAGATGTGCTGTGCTGAGGTTCACCAGTTTAGCAGATGGTCACTGACACATTCCTTGGACAGGAATAAGCTGGGAGAGAGAATTGGCCGGTTCATTGCAGCTTTAGATCTCCAGGAAAATGTAAGCATGTGGCTGGGGCAGGGCAGAGGCCTAGCCTGGGGACTCTGGTTGTAAGGAGACCACTCTATTGAAAGAGCAAAATACTGTTTTTCAGGAAGAAAGCAGTTCATGAACTGTACTGTGGCGTTCAGCTTAGTCAATTAAAGTAAGACAGTCTCTCAAAAGAATCATGCAAATAACAAGAAGCTGCCCAAAGCTCCATTTCAGGGAAAGAAAAGAGCCTTTTGCAAAGCAGAGGTCAGAGTTGTAGGTGTGATGTTTCCCAAAGAGGTTTATGAGGGGCCAGTGTTATGGAGCAGTGGGTTACACCACTGCCTAGGACCCAGGTCTCCAATATGGCTGCCAGTTTGAGTACCAGAAGTTCCATTTCCTCTCCAGTTCTCTATGAATACACCCGAGGAAGCAGCAGAAGGTGGCCCAAGTGCTTGGGCCCCTGCCACCCATGTGGGAGATTCAGATGGAGTTCCTGGTTCCTGGCTTTAGACTAGCCCAGCCCCAGCCCTTGTGGTCATTGGGGGAGTGAACCAATGGTTGCAAGATTCTCTTTCTCTCTCTCTCTCTCCCTCCTTCTTTCTCCCCCTCTGTCTGTGTAACTCTGCTTTTCAAAATAAGTAAAGAATACTTTTTAAAGGAGAGCTATAAAAAGCTTTCAAAACTTTGTTGTAAGTTCTCCATGGACTCATCCCCTAGGGATCTGCAGGCACCTGCAGATGGTCCCTAGAGAAACCTTCCTGGGGCAACTGAACATTTCCATCCACGCAGATACCCCTGGCTTCTTTGGTGTGGGGAGCAACCCGGACTGGACTGAGTTACTGGAATTAAGACTTATTCTTTGCATCTGCTCTCCCACAATATGGCGCTGGGAGAGGAGAAAACAGCTTCTACGCAGCTGCCTCTTGCCAACTTGAGTGATGACCTCCAGGAGCTGATCCTGCTCCTGATTGGAGGAGAGCAGCGTACTCGGCCTGTGGGCAGCCGAGTTGGGATTGGCGGAGGAGGACTATAAAGGAGGAGAGAGACGGCATGCACCAGGAACATCTAAGGGGAACATCTACCTGAAGGAACACCTGTGCAGCCCCCGAGAGAGCCGGCCGGCGGTGTGCTGCTCCCCCGCGGAAGTGGGGAATGTGGCAGGGGGAACCGCCCTTCCACGGAGGTGGAAGGGATAGTAGCCAACCCGGGAAGAACCAGCAGCAAACCCGGGGAGGGCCGAGCAGACGAAAGAACAGCGCAGGGTCCTGTGTCGTTCCTCCACGAAGAGGGGGAGCAACACTTTGGATTTACAGTTTTCTGATTTTCAGGTGGTACAAGAGCCACAAGCACTTAGCAGAGCTGCAAGGCTGGACTCAGATCTTGGCCAGTGCTGTGTGTTCTGCTCCTCTCTCAGATGCCGGGCCATGCCAGTGACCACAGTTCCCAGGAAGTCTTTTTTTTTTTTTTTTTTTTTTTTTTTTTGACAGGCAGAGTGGACAGTGAGAGAGAGAGAGACAGAGAGAAAAGTCTTCCTTTACCGTTGGTTCACCCTCCAATGGCCGCTGCTGCTGGCGCGTTGTGCTGATCCAAAGCCAGGAGCCAGGTGCTTCTCCTGGTCTCCCATGTGGGTGCAGGGCCCAAGGATTTGGGCCAGCCTCCACTGCACTCCCGGGCCATAGCAGAGAGCTGAACTGGAAGAGGGGCAACCGGGACAGAATTCGGTGCCCCAACCAGGACTAGAACCCCGCCGTGTGCTGGCGCCGCAGGCGGAGGATTATCCTAGTGAGCTGCGGCGCCGGCCCCCAGGAAGTCTTAACACTCTGCAGAGTGCTGTGTGGCAGAGCTGAAATGCACAGTAGGGTATGTAGACTCAGTGCGTGCTTGCCTTGTGTTCTGTCCAATTTACCATGGATTTATTCTAGACCTAACCCCAGTGTAAGTTGAAGAGCATCTGTATTCTTCTTTGAAAAGTTAATTTTAGGTCACATGAAAGAAGCAATGCATTTAACAATATCGTGTGAGGGTTATGTTTCTCTCTCTGTGTGTGTGTGTGTGTGTGTGTTTGGGTGGTTGTATGTATAAAATTAGGATGGTATGAAATTAAAAATATTTTAAAAATGCAAAATTTTATAAAATTAAGGAAACTAAAGTCTTTGCCTTTTTGATGAAACCTGTTAAATATGCTGATTCCAAAGCAGTTTTAATCAAGAGTTCCAAAATATCTCTATTGGACATAAGTTCAATTTTTAAACATATCAGATAACAAATACGTGTCTTTCATGAAGAATATTTTTCCAATAGTTAGCAATATTTATGTTCTAACCTTTGCTGTCACAAAGAACTCATATTCTAGCGGCAGATGCCATAAAATATCCAAATAAACACATAACAAGTCTATGATAAAACACGAAGTGAGAGAGAGAGAGAGAGAGACAGAGACAGAGAGAGAGCACTCTGCCATCTACTAGAGCTTGAACAACAAAGTGCTACAAACTGAGTAGCTTTAAAGACAGAAATTCCAGATTTTAGCTCTGCAGGCTGCAAGTCTGGGATCAGGGTTGTCTCCTTTTGAAATCTGAGAAGGGAAGACACGGTGCAGGCTTCTCTTCCTGGCTTATAGATGGTCATCATCTCATTATCCTCCTTTGGGGTATATCCTTGTTCAAATTCCTCTCCTTATAATGACTGCAGTCATAGTGGGTTAAGGCATATAGGAATGGCCTTTTTAACTCCATTACTTCTGAAAAAGTCTGCAATCAAATGACTTTTGGAATGAAAAGACTGTGTAAGTTTTCAAAGACAACTCATTTCAAAATATCATATTTTGCAGTTACTCATCTCATAGGATACCGAGGTTAGGACTTCAGCATATGAACACTGAGGGAAGAACAGTTCAGCTCATCACACCCTGTTGAGGAGGCATGTAGAAGGCAGTAGGGAGAGGCCTTCAATAACTAATAAGAAAGTCAGATGGTGATTGCTCTGTGACAAAGCATAAAGCCAGGGGAGTAGTGAAGGCCAGGTGAAAGGCAATAGTTTGATGCATAGACTTCAGCTGGTGTCTTGATAGTTCTCTTATTTATTTTATGATTTATTTATTTGAAAAGCTGAGTTACAGAAAGGGAGAGGTAGAGGCAGAAAGAGAGAGAGAGAGAGAGAGAGAGAGAGAGAGAGAGAGATAGAGAGATCTTCCATCCATTGGTTCATTCTCTAACTGTTTGTGATGCTGGAGCTGGGCCAGTCCAAGCCAGGAGCCAGGAGCTTCTTCCCGATCTTCCAAGTGGGTGCAGGGATCCAACGACTCAGGCCATCTCCTGCTACTTTCCCCAGTGCATGAGCAGGGAGCTGGACTGGAAGTGGGGTGGCTGGGTCTTGATTTGGTGCCCATATGGGATGATGGCTCTGCAGGCAGCGGCTTAATCCGCTAAACCACAGTGCCGGCTCCATCTTGATAGTTATCTAATGGATGGACCTGTGAGTAGCTAAAATCTTGGCC